TGTTGTTCTGTAGAGGTGGGTTGTCCTGGTTATAAGTTGTTTCGATGCTCTAATCGACAGTGCTAACACTTAAGTAGATTTTTCCAGTAAGGCAACTAAATTACTGATGAGATGGTCCCATATTATGGAAAGGCAGTTTGAGCCCTGTGGTCAAAGTTGGACCACAACGTGTGCAACCCCAGCTCCTTATCAACAGATTGTTTCTGGAAGATGCTTGTTCCTTTCAGAAGGGAGAAGAATGGGGCCACTGCTATCAACACGCATCAGATCAGCAAATAAATTCTAATGTTGAAGTATCAGAACTGGACTTGACCACTCCACAGAATAGGACCAGAGAATGATTTGGGTTGGAAGGGACCGTAAAGATCATCTAGTTCCAACCTCCTACAGAGAGGAGGTAGTTGTTTTTTTTCATGTATCACGTGAGTGTTGGGAATGTCCGTACACATATTCAGCACTAGTTGAAGACGTATGATCAGCAAATTGGTTGAATTTTATCACTGCCTGTTTTTGATCAACATCTATGTGGGCTTTTCTGTGTAAAGGGAATCTGCATGGCCTTCAATACCTTCCTCACATCTTTGCAGATACTGAGTATAGTGTCCCTGTTACTTGCTCAGGTCATGCTGAGCTCACGCTGAGTAGATGGAAGTTGAGATTCAGTCCTTTGTTTGAAGTACTCACCAGCTTTGGGTTTCTTCAGATATTTTCACATGGCCATCATCTTGGTATTTAGTGCTTGGTATCTGTGTAAAAGATTTCTGTGCATATGAAATAGCAGCACTTTAGTGAAGAAATATCTTTATATTGCAGTTTTTTATGTTATTTTAAAGTGTTTTTAAATAGCATTTTGGGAATTGTGTTTCGAAAGCAGGGAGTCAGTCAATGCTATTTATTGTAACATGTCTGTTCTTTTTCACAGCTTTTACCCTTGGTTGAACTGAAGGAATTAGCAAACTGATCTGCCTGATAGAGGCACATTAGGAAAGAAAACCAGCATGAAACACTGTTAGCTTATTACTGTGGTAATAGTTATGCATTAGCGTGAATCCCTGACAAACTCAAGTCTGGGGTTTGTCCTTTTCTTTCTTTCTTGTTTTTCAGTAGAATTCCAATATTCAAAAGTTAATAGAGTTACAGGTTAACATGAAAAGATAATAAAATGGTTTTGTCATTTGTTTTCAACCACTTTATTTCCTCATTAAACTGACTCTTTACTTTTTAATGCTTAGAAAGGGATTTAAGAGTAGAGCGCTTGGGTTCTATTCATATGCCTACAAGGAATTCAATATGTGATCCCAAGCAAAATGGAGAAAATTCTGTTGTCCTCATCACAGCTTTCCTTTCAATCTGTAGTTTTGGATTTCTTTTAGTTAAAACATGCAAAAAATGATGTTGAGTTTTGTCCACATGTGCATCGGATAAACGCCCCCCCCCCCCCCCCCATTACTATCACTAACTCTTACTGTCCACTAAACAAAAGCAGAGTAATTAGCCTGATTAGTCTTCGTATTTGTTGTTTAACAGTATGTGATGCAGCCTCAGGGAAACACAACTTAATAAGCAGCTTTATGTTCTCTTTGTATTCTGATTCTTTATGAGAAGTATTCCTTCTATTGGTGGCTTGGTCCTGCTGTGAAATTCATTTTATTGTTGATAATAAACTAACGGAGGCTGTTTCATGAAGGAAATGTGGAATATTGTGTTTGTTTCCTTCCACCCCTGCTCATCACACCAATAGAACACACTGCACAAGCAGGGCCTTTATATGTCTTTATATCTAAATATGTCTTTATATTCAAATATCTCTTTGAAGTGTTGCAGAGAAATGTCAGACTTAGAATTACGTGGTTTCAACATCAATAATTTACGGCATTATTAAGGAGTTAAATGGGGACATAACGAGACCCTTTATATCTATAAAGCAGCAATATTTTCCAAAATCTTAGATACTTACAGAGAAAAAGGTAGTTGAGAAGAGGCATCTATCAAAGAAGTTATCTAATGAAACTGAAGAAATCATTAGCATTGGAAAGCAGGGGGCTCTCAAGGCAGAGCATAGTTGAAGCAAAAACCTCGACACCATAGAAAGATGGTTTGCTGAGTGTGTTTTGAATTCAGTTTGTGTGTGGTTGTTGCTCGTTCTGGGTATTGTAAATATGAATTTCAGATTTACAGATTAGCATCAAGTCACTACGAGTTGCCAGTGTGCACATTTCTGCCTCTGCCTGCCTGAGAAATCTCGACTAATTCCTATACACCTTGTTTCCTTCTGGTTTTGTATCTAGGGCAGAGCTTGCAGTTTGTGGTAGTTATGTAGTCAGTCGTAACCCTAAGGCAGCCATGCAGGACAGACTTGTCTGAATCTCAGCTGAGTATTTAGAAAGTATTACTGAAATTAAACCGCAGCTGGTTCCATGCAGCATCTCTTTCCGCTGCTCTTGCTATTTGCATGTCATAAACAACTCTAGATGTACAATAGTTTTGCTGTTCCTGGTTTTTATTCATATATTGTTTCCCTGTCTCAGTGGAGCAGCTACAGCACAGTAGGAATATACATTGAATAACTTATTCTGGAGATTGTGTCACCTGCTTTAGATTCAGGGGAGGGGAGGGAGGAAGTGGGGAGAGAAAGAAAAGAAATTCACTGGGTTCATTTATAACTTTCTTCTATCAGTTTTTGCTTTCCATGGTCATTACCTTTGGGACATTTGCCTAATGCCTTACTTTGCCAAGTGTGGTTTTTCTACCACTTCATCTGATATAAAGAAATGTTGTTAGTATAAACTTTCAGCTCTCTGTATTTATTCTTTATGCTACAAATTCTTTACATATAAGCATTTTAACTGTTGGGTTATTTTTCCTATTTCTTGTTTTTAGAATTTCAGCAAGGAATTCTTCATTTGCTTTAAGGAGGAATTAGCTTCCAAGAACAACTTAGCTGACTACTAATTTTTTATTCTTAATATCACATGAGTGTTTTAAATACAACTACTGCATTGCTTTCTAGTTAACAGGTCCAAAAGTTAGCCCATTTAAGAAACTGAAGACATTCGTGCCCCATCCCTGGCAGTGTTCAAGATCAGGTTGGACACAGGAGCTTGGAGCAACCTGCTCTAGTGGAAGGTGTCCCTGCCCGTGGCATGGGGTGGGAACTGGATGAGCCTTAATGTCCCTTCCAACCCAAACCAGTCTGGGATTCTATGATTCTGAACAGCAACAGGAACGTGGACGTGTAGGCCTTCAAAATGAAGAGTTACATGTCAAGAGTTAGGCTGAACAAAGAACTGTTTTGAACCTTAATTCTTCGTAAAACAACACTGACAAAGAAAAGTATGTTTCTGGCTATTGATTCATGCTAATAGTGGGGTGAAAAGCATAATCTAGAGACACTGTTGGATGATTTTCCATTAAATGAGAAAGGTAAAGAATCCATTACTAGGAGAAATAGTACCAAAGTCATCCGAATGGTTACATATAGAAGGGGAGAAAATAATTTGTCTATTAATGGTGAAATCATAAGAAATTCTACAAAGTTTGTAGAATTTTTACAAAAATTCACAGTAACAACAAGATAATTTAGAAACACAAATGTTTCTGAGAGTCCAGTTTTACAGTTCTGGCTTGTTTGTCTTTATTGTGCCTATTTTCTCTGTATAAGTATCACAGTTAAATTGAGGGGAAAGAAGTTCCCCTTTAGGGACTCACGCAGCAGGTCTTGTTTTGATAACATGTACTTTTTCTACAGTGGTGTTAATTTTCTCCTAATTCTTGTGTTGGTGACTGTGTTACCTGCATGCCTTTTGTACATAGTTACATTCTTTCTGATGTTTGCTCTTTAGGTAATGATTCTGACGTTGACCTTGACAGGAAGGAAGATGAGCGAGAAAAAACTCCAAAGAGGCCCAGGGCTCAGAAAACAGAGAAAACTCCATCGACTAAGGAGACTGAGCAGGTTTCAGGAGCTAAAAATCCTATTATAAGTGTGGTTTTGACAGCCCATGAAGCTATTCCAGGTAATCAGAATTAAGTTGTATAATTAAATGTAGTTTTGTCTGTGCAGGCACTGTATAAAGTAGTCATTGGTCTAAGACTGAACTGCTCAGGGTGATTATTGTGTGAAAAATATGTAGTAGTATTTGATTACCTTGATGCAGAGTCTCTGCATCTGGCAGCTACATCATTTTAGAACTACCATCATATTTCTTCCCAGATCCATCATTTCACATACCTATGTGTAGTCATCTGCATTAACATCAGTTACATTTAGTCTGTGAATAGTTTTAAAGAAGAAAATGAAAGAACAGTGACCAAAGAATGTATTTTTCTCCTGTAATATCTTTATTACAGCTCCTGATTTGTGTGTATTTATGATAAATGTAAATTTATGAGAACACAAACAGTATATGTCTGTAATAGAATATTTGTAATGTTAGTATTTGTGCATAGAAATAGTTTGACAGAAGGTATGTATGTATATTTGAAAATCAAGTAAAGTTCCTATATAATGATTAAAGGAGTCCTCATCCATAAATTCTTGTAGTGCCTTTTCATCAAAGGATTTTGGAATAATTTCAAACTATTTATTGTGACACTAGAAATGCATTTGCCTCTTCATGTAAATCATTCACTCACCTGACTGACAGAATCCCTTTTAAAAACTTCTGTGCATCATTTTCAGCTTTGTGGCTTTATTGTTCTCCTTTTCATTATTGCTAACATTTCTGAGTATTTGTTTTGCTTATAGCTCTCAGAACAACTAGAATGTATTATTTTCTTGGTATATGCATGGAAACATTCATCTCTGTGTAAAATCCTGTTGAGGATGTCAGATAAGCATTCTGTCAATTAGAAATGTAGAAAAGGCTTCAAAAATTAGTTGTCTTTTATCCACAGTATAGAGGAAATACTCTCACTGTATGTCTTCTTTCTTAGATGAAAGATACTTTTAGGAGTGTTACATTAACAGTTTGCTGTAATTCCATACATTCTTTAGGTTTGGGAAACTACATAGAATCATAGAATCAGAATAGTTAGGGTTGGAAAGGACCTTAAGATCATCTAGTTCCAACCCCCCTGCCATGAGCAGGGACACCACACACTGAACTATGTCGCCCAAGGTGTTGTCCAGCCTGGCCTTGAACACCTCCAGGGTTGGAGCATTCACAACTTCCTTGGGCAACCCATTCCAGTGTCTCACCACCCTCACTGTGAAGAACTTCTTCCTTATATCTAACCTAAACTTCCCCTGTTTAAGTTTAAACCCATTACCCCTTGTCCTACCACTAGAGTCCCTAATGAAGAGTCCCTCCCCAGCATCCTTGTAGGCCCCCTTCAGATATTGGAAGGCTGCTATGAGGTCTCCACACAGCTTCTCTTCTCCAGGCTGAACAGCCCCAACTTTCTCATCCTGTCTTCATATGGGAGGTGCTCCAGCCCCCTTATCATCCTCGTGGCCTCCTCTGGACTTGCTCCAACAGCTCCATGTCCTTTTTCTGTTGAGGACACCAGAACTGGACACAGTACTCCAAGTGAGGTCTCACAAGAGCAGAGTAGATGTGTTCAGTAGATGATGATTAAATTGATCTCTTAAAAATCCCTTCAAACACATTAGTTAGTTTGTAGCTTCCTAGGAAGGACATTTGGACAACATTGACTTTTCCCCATGTTCCTTTTCTGTGATGTTTACTTGGAAGGCATATGAAAGGTAGATGTACAACTTTAGAAATGTGAAAGCTTGCATTAACCCTCAGAGTAAATACAGTCTGAATAAAGTGGTAGACTTTTTTCTGTGCAGGAGTTGAATAACCTTGACAGGCTTCAGAGGTGGGTCCGTGCAAACAACATGCAGTTCCACAAGGCCAGTGCAGGGTCCTGCACCTGGACTGGGGCAATCCCAAACACAAATACAGGCTGAGAGGAGAATGAATTGAGAGCAGCCCTGAGGAGAAGGACTTGGGCGTGTTGGTTGATGAGAAGTTCAACACGACCATGAAGATGATCACAGGGTTGGAGCACCTTCCTGTAAGACAGACTGAAAGTGTTGGTGTTACTCGGCCTGGAGAAGAAAAGGCTTCAGGGAGACCTTGTTGCAGCCTTCCAGTAACTAAAAATGACCTACATTAAAGCTGGAGAGGGAGTTTTTGTAAGGACATGTGGGGATAGAACAAGGGGTAATGGCTTTAAACTGAAAGAGAGGAAGTTTAGATTAGATAGGAGGAAAAAAGTCTTCACTGTGGGGGTGGTGAGACCGTGGCACAGGTTGTCCAGAGGAGCTGGAGTAAAGTATTACAGAACTTGCATAAAACAACAGTTCAAATGTTCAAAGTGGAATCTCTTCTGAATCAAGCTAATTGAGCATTAATAACAATTTTGGTTTAGAAGCCTTGACAATATTATGGAATTTAAACACAAGAAATAAAACACATTTAAAAACCACAGAAGATTGAATGTTTGGCAGAGTTTACTCACTGGTCATTAAAAATAGACTATGAACAAAAGTATCTGCCATTCAAAACAGTATTTTTAGATGTGCATATAACTGTAGTTACTCATTCTCGTTCCTAATTGCGATGCTTATGAAAACTTCACTACAGTTAATCTGACACCAGTCACACATGCTCATGAAGACAGCACTCCCTCTCTTCAAGGTCTCTGGGTCCCTCCAGATACAGAATCCTAGACTGGTTTGGATTGGAAGGGACCTTAAAGCTCAGCCAGTTCCAACCCCCTGCCACGGGCAGGGACACCTTCTACTAGAGCAGGTTGCTCCAAGCCCCTGTGTCCAACCTGGACTTGAACACTGCCAGGGATGGGGCAGCCACAGCTTCTCTGGGCACCCTGTGCCAGCGCCTCAGCACCCTCATAGGGAAGAATTTTTTCATTATGGCTAATCTAAACCTACCCTCTTCGGTGTAAGGCCATTATCCCTTGTCCTGTCCCCACATGCCGTTGTAAAATGCCCCTCTCCAGCTTTCCTGTTGCACCTCTTTAGGTATTGGAAGGCTGCTCTAAGGTCTCAGCGGAACCTTCTCTTCTCCAGGCTGAGCAACCCCAGCTGTTTCAGCCTGTCGTTGTAGGAGAGGTGCTCCAGCCCTCTGATCATTTTTGTGGTCTCCTCTGAACTTGCTTGAGCAGGCCCACATCCCTCTTGTTGAGAGCCTCAGGGCTGAATGCAGTGCTCCAAATGAGGTCTCTCAAGAGCAGAGTAGAGGGACAGGATCACCTCCTTCCACCTCCTTCACGCTTCTTTTGATGTAGCCCAGGACATGGTTGGTTTCTGGGCTGTGAGCGCACACTGAAGCCAGCTCAGGTTGAGCTTTTTGTTGACCAACACCCCCAAATCCTTCTCCTCAGGACTGCTCTCAGTCCGGTCTCTGCCCAACCTGTAGCTGTGTCTAGGATTGCCCCAACCCAAGTATAAGACCTTATAATTGGCTTTGTTGAACTTCATAAGGCTGGCACTGGCCCACCTCTCAAATGTGTCAAGGTCCCTCTGGATGGCATCCCTTCCCTCTAGCATGTCTACCATACCACACAGCTTGGTGTCATGAGCAAACTGGCTGAGAGTGATCAATCCCACCGTCTATGTCACCGGCAAAGGTGTTGAACAGTGCTAGTCCTAATACGGCCCCTTAGGAATGCAACTTGTCACTGATCTCCACTTAGACATTCAGATCTACAAAATCCATATATATCTGCAAAAATAGCATGAAATACTTAAATTCTTCATTCTAATTATTTTTTAATTTCTAAAGGAGTTGAAATTTTTTTTCTCCTACAAATTCCTACTACAACATTGTGCAGGGTTTTCTCTCCCTGATCTCCACTGAGGAATGACGATCCATCAAAGGCCACCTGTATTCTCCTGCTGCTGTACCCTGTGCTGTAGTTTACAAACGCTTGGTTCCATCTCCCGTCGAGATTTTTGGGAAGCAGGGAAGAAGTGGAAGGATGTCATTTTTGTCTACTATTTTGGGACTGACTTAGTTTAACTGATGAAAGTTGTTTCCATTAAACCTATCAGTCTTCTCTGTTTAAGATGACTTCTTTCCTGTAGCTTACACCATCATGGTTGTGGGTTTGAGACACATGAACAGATTTAACATTAAACTCGTGCCAAGGGAGCTTTCCTGCTTGTCTTTTAACTTCCCAGGTGACTTTCTCTTTCTCGCACTGGTGTCAGCCTGTGGTAAACTGCTTCAGAAAGTTAGTAAAATAAATACACATTTTCTCTGCCAGTTTTGCAAACTGGAATGTCTCATGTTGGGAGCACACACGTTTCAAAGGTGGGAAGAGGAAAAGTGGGGCAAAATGAATCTCTCAGGGGAAAGGAGGAGGATTGGGACTACTCATTTTAAAATAGCTGGGTCAGTAAGGCTAGAGTGCTGTCACAGGGGCAGTGAGGTCCTCCTGCCCCTGGCCGCACATTCCTGTCCTTTGGATCATTGTGCTGTTTGCAGAAGGAGAGATATGGTATAGATTTTAGCTAGAGATTCCTTTTCTCATCCTCTTCATCTTTGTATGCTCCTGTGCTGGCACTTCTGAGGCATCACAAGCATGTAGCTGAGTGGTGGGCTAGAGAAAAGAAGTTAACCTTGTATTGAATTAAAGCAAATACGGAATTAAGGTGAGGAAAACTATAGCTTGTCCCTCTGAATGTAAGCAGGTAGCTCTATTCCCATGGAGTTAGATTGATTTAGCTCAGCCAATCTAATGTCCTGCTCTGTTGAAAGGGTGGTAATCTTCATGCCATCCGTGTTTCTGTTTCTTTGTCCAAGTTAAAATGTTTAACCTCATGGTGAGCTAACCTATAAAAAAATGTTATAAGCTTCTTTTACCTTTTTTAAAGCTTTATTTTGGGAGTAAGGGGTAGGTTAGGGTCATGGGTAGGGTTAGTTTCTGTTGCTCTCATTTTCAGAACTGCCTTACCAGGGGTTGTATGGGTTTGGAGCACATTCCACAGGATATTCTAGAAGCTGAACATTACATTCCTTCAAAAATAGGTGGTGAGAAATAAATATTTACTTCATACCCTTAGCAAATTACTTTACCTGCACAGACCAGACTAACTATAATATAAAGGGGGTATTTTAAACTTAAGCTACTAGTTGTCTTTAAAGGCAGCTTGCAGCATCTCTGTAGGAAGCAAAGAAAAACTTACTATGGAAAGCCTTGTGGATTCTGGCAGCCATTGAGTTGGTAGTTGCATCTTGCATCATCATATTTAATACAGATCTGTTAATTTATGTAAATTCCTTCTTAAATGCATGTATATTTTCAGCCTATAACATTGTGCAGGAATTGTTCCATAATTTACTTGCACATAAATTAATTTCTAAGGGACAGACTGTAAGAGCTTAGAGGCCATCACTGAGTTTGAACCAGAGATAAGGCACACTGGGCAGTGCTTATCTGTTGAAGTTGCTGTCAGAATGTCACAAGGAACTCAAATCTTATTGCACTTAAAGCAGATTTATTTAGAACAGATGATATTGACTGAAAAGACGAATGCAAAAGGCATAGTTAAAGTCTAGTAACTGAAGTCCTTTCTGCATTTAAAATATGGTAGTGCTGGAGGAAGGAATTTTGGGAAAGAAGTGATCAGTACAGTTAACCTCTTTTCCTCTTCTGCTATTTGTATACTCTGACTTCTTGAGATGATTGTCCAGGGAAACAGTTAGGAAAACTTCTATCTTCCTTACTGGCATGCAACATTTTTAACGGAAAACCAGACCTTGTATCTGTTCACCTTGTGCTTACACATTTCCCTAGCCTGTGGCTGCTTTTAGAGACAGGAACATTGAGGGAATTCTCCTGGGATGTGGGGCATATTGGTTCTACCTACTAGGCTGGGTAGAGCCTAGAAACCAAGTTTCTCACTTTCTGGGCATATGCTTTAGTCATTAGTTCATGATAGAGCTGTGATTGCTGAGGCTACCTGGTCCATTAGTAAGCCATACTCAGGCAGCATCCCAAGTGGATGGAGGCATCTGATGTTTCTTAATGCTTCTGTATTATTCCCTAACTCTAAGGGTCATGATTGCCTACTTTAAGCAAATATTCTTATCAGTCTGTCTGAAGAATTGGATCTCTCTTTTTAGGTTTAGAGGCATTTGTCTCTCAATTAATTGCATAGGGAATTTAGAGGCAGTAATATGAGGATGAGCTGGAACATTCTGTCCACTGCAAGTATGCAAAATACTGATGAGTTAGTCCTTACCTAGTTCACCTGATTTAGGTGATTAATACTTTATGCTGGTAGCACAAAAGTCTGTTAAACAGTTCGATCTCTTCAGGAAATGGTCAAACATCCTGAAAGGCAGAAGAACATAGAGGAGCTTTAGTGCAGAGCATTTACTGAGGATCTTTGTCTCACTTGTAGGAAATGAGAGGCCTGGAAGAGGTAGCCATGCATATAGAGCAGTTCAAGGTCTATTTTCTTTAACAGAGTCATTCTAAATATAGAAAAATTGGCTTCTATTTTCAAAATAGTGACATATGGGAACACTGGTCTGGTGTCTAATGTCTTTTTTATCATCTTTATATTGAACCCACTGATTGAACTGTGTCTCCTGTACTGTAACAGTAAGCTCCTATCTCACTGGGCAGCTATAGTGTAGTGTGATAGATGGAGTCCTGGTGGACAACCTGGCATTTATGGGAGAGGGAGTGACAGGAAGAATAGAAGTTAGAGTGTTCTGGTAACATAGGCTGAAAACTTAGAAGATCAGAAAGCAACATTTAATTTTTCCAAAGATTTTTCTATAGTACTTCTTAGTGGTGTGAAATAATTGTAATGTATGTATGGATAAGTACATAAATACACAAATACATATAACTTCAACTTTTGAAGATAATAGCATTCCCATTGAACACATGGGTAGATGACTTGCAGACAGATGAAGTTAAAAAGGAGGGGATCAATTAGTAATGGATGCTTGGTTTGGTATCCATCAGTAGGGGTTTTTTCAGTGTAAGTTAATATTTGTATGGAATTTCAGTACCTTCAATGCTCACTACAGATGACCAACATTAAGTTTTTCTGCCACTGATCAGTAAACAAAGAACACCCAGATAAATTAGCTCCACACAATCACATCTCAAAATATGCTTATTTCTGCCTCAACTAACTGTAACAGAAACTAAAATAGTTGAACTAATGATTGCAGAGCTTAATGTTTTGTTTATACTTGCATATTATAGATAACACACATTTTAATAGGACATTTTTAATGAGCATTTTTCATTCTTGCTTTTAGGAGCCACAAAAATTGTTCCTGTTGAGGCTGCTCCCCAAGAAAGTGAACCCACAACCCCAGAGGCAACAGTTCAAGACCCATCACAGCGAAGAGGATATCAAGAATATGCTATTCAGCAAACCCCATATGAACAGGCAATGAAATCAAGCAGGTAATTGTGAAGCATTTGTATTTGTGTTCATGCAAAATACGAATACTTCCCTGTCCATTTTTGTGTAACTGAAATATTTTCTGAGCCTTTTAAGTGAACGAACAGCTGAAATGTAATCATAGAATCATTTGGGTTGGAAAGGACCTTAAGATCAACTAGTTCCAACCTGCCTGCCATGGGCAGGGACACCTTCCACTAGAGCAGGTTGCTCCAAGCCCCTGTGTCCAACCTGGCCTCGAACACGGCCAGGGATGGAGCATTTACCACTTCTTTGGGCATCCTGGTCCAGTCTCTCACCACCTTCACCGTAGAGAACTTCTTCCTTGTATCTAACCTGAACTTCCCCTGTTTAAGTTTAAATCTGTTATTACCCCTTGTCCTATCACTGCAGTCTCTGATGAAGAGTCCCTCTCTGATGTCCTTGTAGACCCCCTTCTGATATTGGAAGACTGCTCTGAGGTCTCCAGGCAGCTTCTCCAGGCTGAACAGCCCCAACTTTCTCAGCCTGTCTGTGCATAAGTTGTCAATTTAAAAAGCCTGTGGAGAATACCTTTTAAAATAAACATTTCTGTCCCTTATGAATATTTCGGGTAATTTTGATGTATTATGTTACAAAGCTTCGGTGCTGTGAACATAACTGGTTTGTTCGGGTTTTTTTAGGTTGGGTCCAACTCAACTGAAGATTTTCACGTGTGAATACTGTAACAAAGTGTTCAAATTTAAACACTCCCTCCAAGCGCATTTGAGGATCCATACAAATGAGAAACCTTACAAGTGTTCATACTGCAGCTACGCCAGCGCCATCAAAGCCAACCTTAACGTTCACATGCGGAAACATACAGGGGAGAAGTTTAGCTGCGATTACTGTGCGTTCACTTGTCTCAGCAAAGGCCACCTCAAAGTCCACATTGAAAGAGTTCATAAGAAAATCAAGCAGCATTGTCGCTTCTGCAAAAAGAAGTACTCAGATGTGAAAAACCTGATCAAGCATATCAAGGAAACACACGACCTTCAAGATAAAAAGGTGAAGGATGTTTTTGATGAGCTTTGCTTGATGACACGAGAGGGCAAAAGGCAACTTCTTTACGACTGCCACATTTGTGAGCGCAAATTCAAGAATGAACTTGATCGAGACCGTCACATGCTTGTTCATGGGGATGAAAGACCCTTTGCTTGTGAGCTCTGTGGTCATGGAGCCACTAAATACCAAGCCCTTGAGCTTCATGTTCGCAAGCACCCGTTTGTGTATGTGTGTTCCGTGTGCCTGAAGAAGTTTGTCAGTTCCGTAAGACTCCGTGCTCACATCAAAGATGTGCATGCAGATTTGCAGGAGGCTTCTGTTTTTAACAGTTCTATCAATCAGAGTTTCTGCCTGCTTGAGCCGGGAGGTGATATCCAGCCGGAAGCCCTTGGTGAACAGCTAGCACAAAGTGCAGATGAGTTGACCGTCATGAGTGCTGATGGTGGTAACACACCACAACCGTCTGCTTGTAAAGGTCAATCAACAGCTGCAGATGTAAACCATAATGGTCAACCTAATGGTGACACAAACAGTGATACTGCCTTTTCCTTAGCAATTGAAAATCCTTTGGTGAAGAATGTACCAGAGACACTGTGTCAGACGACAGACGTAGCAGTCCCGGACATTCAATCCTGTGTAGCATCAGACTGCTTTCAGCTCAAAAATGGTACTTCTGGTCCTGATGAGTTGAAAGGTTCTCCTGCAAATGAAGAGGAAGCTAATCCCTGCAGCTCAGTAAATGAGCAGGGTGAAGAAATTCAGCTTTTGCTGCCTGAAGACAAAAGTTTAATTCTGAGTCAGGATAATGCAGTGACTGAGAACCTTTCAGACTCTGAAGAGAGAAATCGGGCTGTTCCTTCCAGGGAATCAGAAACAAGCAATGTGCCAATGCAAAATGCAGCAGAAACCACAAGGCCTCTGCCAGCACCAGCAGCGAATGCAGCCGTCGGTCCACCGGCAGCCTCTTCTAATGCAGCTACATCAGACAGCAGGAGCGGAGCTGTTGCCTTTATGCAGATCTTGGATAGTTTGCAGAAGAGACAAATGAACACAGAGTTGTGTGAGAGGATAAGGAAGGTTTATGGAGACTTAGAATGTGAATATTGTGGTAAGGAGCAGCAGAATCATGTTTGTTTGGGTTTTTAAAATGTAATGTAGTGAGCCATCTTTTTCCAGCTCCTCTGGTGACTGATGTTTGATGTGTTTGTGTGTCTTTGCAGTAGTATTAGTTTTGTAGTTCCATATGGATTCTGGGGTCCAGAGAGATTTACTCTTTGCTGTATAAATAGCATGAAATGACTCCTCAAAAAACCACTAGTGAAATCTAGTGAAGAATTGCTTTGTGATGCTCAATTTTCTGTCGATGTGAAACTTGACAGAATTAGATCATTTCTGTCCACGGGCCTCTTCCTACCTCATAACTTTCACTGGGGCCAGCGGAGCAGATTTAGGCATGTGATCAGCATTAGTCCATGTTTTAATGCTTAAGCTTTATTATCAGCTTAATATAAAATTTAGACTCTTTTTCATATAGTATGTGAGGACGTATAACAATAATAATCATTCTTTACAGTAGATACATACATACTGGTATATTTTTGTGACTTGTTTTCAACCATATTTTTTTAACTGAAAATTTTCATTACATAGAATCAGATCAACTGTAATTGTTTTTTTGACTTTATAAAAGTAAGAGTAATACACTATTCCCATTTATTCTAACTGAAACTTTTGTGTTTACATAACTGGAAAGGAAGGAATTTGGGATTTATGTTGTAGTCTTCAGACTTGAGATGGGAGAGGAATCAGAGTTTGAATAAAGTTTTTGGAACACCCTAACACTGTACGTTAGATAAATTGCTGTGCACTGTTTGGTGCCATTATGTCAGAAAGGCTTTTAGGGAAGGAGTAACAAAAAGGGAACTAACAATCGATTTTGACAATCTCTGTTAGTGTACAGTTGCATTCAGATTCTTTCTGTAGTAGAACAGATTTAAAGGACTTTCTCATTAGGAAAAAGATCATTGAGCTATATTAAAGTTGCCCTTGTTAGGCTATTGCAGGTAAAAAGTGTTTTCTGTAAACAGGTTTTCAGTAGCAGAGTGTCTTTAGGACAACGTTTCATTAAACCAGAAGGGACAGGATTCAAGCAGTGTGTTTTGCCCTGAAAGAAAACTGGTTCTGTATTGGAGTTTTCAATTAGGCGTGTTTATAATTTGCTTTCCTCCTGTCTAATTCTGTTTTCAGGCAAGTTGTTCTGGTACCAGGTCCATTATGACATGCATGTTCGTACGCATACTCGAGAACATTTATATTACTGCTCCCAGTGCAATTACTCTTCCATCACCAAAAACTGCCTTAAGCGTCACGTCATTCAGAAACACAGTAATATTTTGCTGAAGTGTCCCACAGAACATTGTGACTACTCTACTCCAGATAAATACAAGCTCCAGGCACATCTTAAAGTTCACACGGAACTGGTGAGTAACAAACAAAACCGTACCTTTGTCTCAATTAAGTGTCATCATCATCGTGTTTGCAGCTGTGTGGCAGTATTTGAAGATACAGGTTCTTACCGGAGTGTTCTTTGCTTTCTTCTGTACAGGGCGTAGTTTCCTGTAGGATACGTCTGTATCCATTTTCTCCCTTCGATTTTCCCAGTATTCTCAGATTCCTTGGGTTTTGAGAGAGTAAAGCGAGAGTAATATTGTTACTTCACTTAGTTCCATGGACCTGAATTCCATTCCTTCATAAAATGGTAAAATGAAAACATGTTCCTCTCTTAATTACTATAGAGGGAAGAAATTTAAGTCGAAGAGTTATTTTTTTCCTGATAGCTCCAGCTAGTTGCAGACACTCTTTTTGAACCTATCATTTTCTGCTGTTGTTCCAAAGATAAAGAGATCATGCTCTAAAGGCTCCCATATTATTCAGGAAGCCTTCCAGCTCTGAATGCCATTGTGTTAAAAAGAGGTCACTTCTTCAATGTGTCCTGTTACATGTTTTATGTGAGACTATGGAAGGGGCTGCCTGCCTGACTAGAAGCCTTCTTTGTGCAATACACTGCTTTGTGGTCGTGCTCTGATCCAACACTATCTCATGAATAATCTTTTGAGGAAAAAATCTTTTCTACATCAACCCTGCATTTTTTCACAGTATGTTTTTAAAAATCCATTATGGTGTTCAGAGTAAGAAATACTTTAAAGCTAAGGAATGAGAAAGTGAAATTACTTACATGCCTTTCTTGGAAGATTAAGAAAAAAGCCCAATTATTTTCTTCACATCAGCTTTGCCTTGCTTTTTCTTGTTGTTGTTTTATTGTTTTGCATGAATGGCCCAAATAGGCTAAGATATTGTCATAAAAGGTCTATGTACCTTTCCTACCACGTGGCAAGATCCTTTCTGCTTGTAAGGTATAGTTGATCTGGGACGTTCTAGACCTGTGTGTACCCAGAGAGTTTATACACTTACAGTGTATGAACACAGGTAAGTTCCTTCCTGTTTCAAATTGACCTCTAGAAAAGGGTGCTCAGCAAGTGCCTGCTCTCCCAGCATAATGAATTTAGTCTGCTTTTAACTGGAGTCTTTCTTGAAGGCCATCTGGAGTGCTTAGGTGGAACATACTACCTCATACATTTTACATGAAGGTACTGGTGTTGAATGAAGTACAGCTTAGCATTTCAGAAAATGTTTGACAGGCATGCTATTTGTATTTAAACTTTCTTGACTGATAATGCCAGCAAATTGGCATGAACTACATCCTTGCAGTTTGCCATTTTAATAATTTATGCAGGAAACCACTTCCAAAAGCAATTTGCCCTTCTCCTGAATTTATTCTTATTCCAACAGACGAGAAAATACCAGTTGTTTAATTGCAACACTCACTCTCCAGTCCTTTAAGAGCAAGGAAATACTCACACAGATGGGTCTTTCTTCTTTTTTACACAGCATTATGGTTTTTGCTGGCATTGTCTTGTAAATAAATCTTACACACCCTTGGCAGAATGCACCACATGCGACGAATCCCTCCTAGTCACATGTGAAAGCAACATCACAACTCGCTTAAAGTACTGTGATAAATACTGTGTTTACACTTCCTTTTACTAGTGAAATGTGCTGCTTGAATTAAGGATTCATGTTAATTTTTCCCAAGATGTGGCCAATTTCTGCTCAGCTGCTTAAAAAAGCTATTAATGTACAGTGCCGAGTGGTTTCAGGTCATCTTCTGCAGTCAGCAAGTAGGCTCTTGGCCAGTGTTTCCAATAGCTGGAGTTACTTTAAAGGTGTTTGTAACAGAACAGAACACTGCATCTCCTACTCTTCTTAAGTACTAGTCCTTTGAAACTGCAGGACAGTTTTTAAATAGACAAAATGGAAGAGATGACACAAAAGAGAACATTTTTTTTCCTCCTCCTTTGTCCCCCAATTCTGTAGATACTTTAAGCAGAATCTAAATTTGTGATGAAATGGGCAGAAAGCTCACATAATAGACATTCTTTTAGGCTGCTTTTGAATTTATTGTGTTTATGATATGCATCTGATGGCAAAAATCTGTGCAAGTAATATCTGAGGCTACTTAAGGACAGAGAGCCTGAGATTAGATATCCCATATCCTTATGTAAGTACCTGTTTTTCAAGTGTCATGACTGTCCAACAGCTCCCACCAGGAGCATCGTTTTCATGATACTAAATAGAACTGAGAAAGTGCATTTCATAATTAAAACCAGTGTGACAGTGAGATCTTTCAGAAGGATGCTTACTGATACTTACTTTTAAATATATTTGAGTATTTAAATAGATTGAAAAATTTATGTATTAGAACTTAGTGACTAAACTTGGCAGTTCTCTTATTGGCCTTTGATCCCACTGCTTGGTATATTTACTTAGTGCACACAGGGCCACTCACTCCGAAATATAGTACTTTATATGCACAGCTAAATGTGGGAAGCTTCTTTAATGTTAATTTGAGGTTGCAAAATCAATTCAATAAATATTAAAATTAAAGCTTCCTTAGAGATAGAATCACTGAATGGCTTGGGTTGGAAAGGATCTTAAGATCAACTAGTTCTAACCTCCCTGCCACAGGCAGGGACACCTTCCATTAGACCACGCTGCTCAAAGCCCCATCCAGCCTGGCCTTGAACACTGCCAGGGATGGAGCATAAAAGTTATCAACATATCAAAAGAAGATAGCAAACTCTTAGTTCAGTATCTTCTATGAATGTGTATCTTTCATTACCATGTTCCTGGCTGCTTTTTGCCTGAATCCCTGTAGTATTTGGTGAGCAGGATAAATGATGGTTATTAAAAAGCAGCTTGTGTTCACCCTTGTCACTCTCTGTATAGCAACCCATCTTACTGTCTGTGCACCCTCCAAGTCTTGCAGTGAATTTAGGATTATTTATTCCTTGGGAGATGACGATGGGGAATGTGTATGTGCTGCCTTTTGCCTCTGTATTTGCTGCACATTGTTGTTGCAGGGAAGACTTTGACTTTTGAAGCCTGGAAATTGAGGCTCAGCTTGATTCAAAACCAAAATTTTGCAGATATTCTCTGATTTTACCCTTCTTTTACCTCTGATGCTTGTCTGCAACAGTTATGACAATTGTTGGCTTTTATGGAGTTTTTTAGAAACCATGACACGTGTGGCTCACCTTAGTGTCATAGCAGCTAGGAAAGGGATGGGCAGTTTCTACTGACTTCTGAATGAGCTAGTGGTAACATTAGGGACCAGCTGTGGAACTAAAGAATGCTGATACAGGTACCAGTTTATTTACAACATCCAGTGGGTTTTACAGTACTCAGTGTTCTGAGCAGATAAAACACCACAGAGAGGCCGGTCTCTGAAATGATTTTAAATCTATCTATGTAATTAATGCTGCAAGAGAAGCTCCTAAATAAAATTGGAGTTCACACCCAGAACCACCACTTGCTATTAGGTGCCTACACCTGCTGTCACGTGCGTTTTGGGCTATAAATGATTCTTGTCTTTGGAAAGATGCTTAGAAATTTCATTATGCTGCTGACCTTTCCTGTAATAGCATAGTTATTTCCTCTTCCTGAGGAGTGTTAATTTTCAGACCATCACTGGCCTGACTTTGATACCTTTGCCTCTGGAACAGTGCCACTGCGTAGTCAAGAATGCAAGGTACTGGAAAGGGACGGAATTAACCAAAAAATCTGTGATCTAATGATCAGGCATTCAGTTGGAAAATGGCTTTTGTCCTTGGTCTTGCTTCCATAATGAATGCCAGTCATCTTTACTAGTGGTTATTTCACACATACACAAAAAAACATGCTTAAGCAGTTCCACGTGCAGGTGCTTGTCATTTTGTGAGCTGTGATTTCTGCTGCTTGCCAGCCTTCATAAAAGTCTGTCTAACCATTAGCAAATTCTTCTTGAGCCTCCTTCACACGTGTGCATAGCTGCCTCCTGGGCACATCAGATCCTTGTAGCCAAGTTGCATTTTAATAGGACGTCAGCATAATTTGGCAATCTTCTGTGAAAATTCTGATTTTAACAGCATGATGAAGACTTCTGGACATCTTCACTCTTTGGAAGTATAACTCAGGGAGCTAATTCTGTTTCATTAGGCATTAGAAATTACATTCCTGTTGATCCGAGTAGATGCAGGAGCAGGCTTTGACTCTGTAGTCCTCTACAAAATTATACAAAAGCAGGGGAATGGATTGTTCATTTCTATAGTGTATTTGTCCAATTTGGGCCTAAACACTTGTTATTACGGCCATGGTCTTAATTTTACGCTATTAATGGAACTGATAACAAAGCCTAAGGCCCTCAAAGTGCCTCTGTCGTGTACGAAAGGGTGTTCTGAAGAGCTATAGTGCTCTGGTGGTGGAGACCTTCTCTGGGGCTCTGTTGTGACCTGCATACTCTGAAATACTTCGCTTGCAACAGGGGATTTCTTAAAGGCTGGTTGTGAGAGTGATGGGACTACAGCGAGGGACCAGCGCTGTCACAAGCTCTCAGAGCACTGACAGAAGTACATTAAACAGTCAAAACTAACAGTGTAAGCTCCAAAAGTCTGTGGCACTGGCATGGACATAAAAGCTGTGAAAGGTTTGGTTTCACCTGGATGGTTTTGGTGAGAGGCTGGAGCTTGACAGGATCACTTTGAAGGGACTTGGTGCTCAGAAGTGCAATCTGTTGGTTACACTGAAAAACATACCCCTTTTGAAGATCATTTGGTGCAGAACTTGGTGTGATAACTTTCTAGCTGCTTAAATAAAGCTGTTTGGATTATTTTGTTATTGAAAAATTTTATTACCATCATCACGTGGAAAGATGTGTTCTTGCCTGTATTTTCATGTTGCTCTGTAGCTCTTGTTCCGTTTACTGATGATTTTGACTCTCCTCTGAGGCGCAGGCTTCTAGTCTTGCCTTCCTGAAAAGTTAGTAGCAAGAATGTAAAGTTGTCGTAATTATAGCATTTTACTTAGTGTGTGTGGAGGGGAGCATTGGTTCTTTGGGGTTTTTTCTACTTTAACTTTATGAAATAGCAAGGTGTATTTGTCTTAGTGTTCTGGGCACGCTGAGAAATACTTAGTCAATGAGTATTAAAGACCAGCAACACCTGACCATACATTAAACATATTCTAGTATGAATAAAGTAACTAGTATACATTTAATGCACAGTTGGGTGTTGCTGGTCTTTAATTTTCATTTATTGTGTATGTTGTAAACAGTTATATAGTAAATTTGAGGAACAGACTGAGATTTGTCAACAAATTTCAGCTGGCCCCTCAACAGCCCCAAATGATATTGTGCTTATGTTTTTCTTACGTGTGCCAAATTGTGAATGTGATCGTGCAACCCAGTCTTTGAAAAGGTTCAAGCATTGCTATAGGGTTTTATTAGAATTCATCTATCAATTTTCATTAGAAGAACATGTTCAGGTAGAAGTGCGAAATCATCAGGAACAGATTTAGGGGTAATAGGTTTTATCATTTGAAAGACCCTAATTCCACAAATGAACAGCTCTTTGCTAGTAAGATTTTGTCAGCACTGTGGGTTCCTTGAATCTTCTATTCCAAAAACCAGTTAATGGAGAAAAGACCTACATTTTTATGTGGAGTTTGATGCATTTGCAAAAAGCTTAAAATTACAATTGCGCTAAAATTACATATAGGAGGGAATTTGATCAAAACT